GAAAATCTAAAAGATTTTCAAACTTTCTGAATCGCAAGACGGTAAAAAAGGAAGCAAAATCGATTCCTGAGCTTTTATTGTGTACTCAAAAAGTGAGTACACTCTAGAATCGGGTGTGGGTGTGGGTGTGAATATAGATGTCAATCTATTTGTTACCCCACACCTTCGGTGGAGTTGAGAATTTCTAGCGACGAAGACAATGGCTTGGTTCGATAGGACCAGCGTATAATTCATGGTGAATAATAACATTGAGTACATTTACAGATGATGACTATACAGTTCGAAAGCACTTGGATAACACTGAACAAAACGATTCGAATGAATCATTCTTACTTTATCTTCAAAATGATATCCTAAAGATATTATGAAAACTATTTTAAACAATGAAACAAAATTAGTCAATGCGAATAAAAAATTACTAGGACAAAGATTTTTATTTTGTAGAGAAGGACTGATTTCGAACTCTCCTAACTCTTAATAAGCTGATGTATCAAAGTCAATTCTCATAATCGTAATATCCATTCCAATATGTTTTATTTTTTCTACTATATGAAATCCCAGTTTTTTGTATAAGCTGGTTGCATTTTCCGTCCATAGCCAGACATGGGTATAATTTAGTTGCTTTGCCACCGCGAGAATCTTATTAATCATATATGTTGCTACACCTTCACCACGATATTCTGGTTTTGTATAAACGCAGGCCATCCATGGTGTTGTGTTATAATAGGGATTACCTGCAGGTACGTCACATTTTTCTAAGCCAGCTGTTGCAACTAAATTTTGATTATTATTATCTAAGACAATCGCTAATATTGGTAACTGATCATAATTACAAGCGTGGTTATCTTTGATATCTTGTAGAACATCTTGTAAATTGTGTAATCCAAATGAATGATAAGTATCTTGCCATTGTTCATAAAAAATCTTTGCCATTTCTTCAATATATTCTTGTTTATGGACTAAGAAATGGAATGAATATTTTGATAAAAGAGATTCATTGCTGTTGGATATATTGTTATTGTTCATGATAATATGATTCTTTGATTATGACGATTGTTTTCTACTATTTAGTTCTGATGATCTTTCTGTATCATCTAAAATTAAATAGGATGCTTTTCTTTGTGATATCACTAATCAAACATTCTAGACAGTTAGTATTAGAGTTGATTGAAATGAAAGACAATTTTTATTGTTTCGCATATAAATACGACCAAACATGTTAAAAATTTGTTTATCAATTTCGATAGTTAAAGCGTAACGAAAATTTGCTTCATAATCAGTGATGAGCAGATTCTAATATGTGGTTGAAACATGTTGGCTATTCGATGCGGTTTCTAGAGAATGAAGTGTC